CGAGGTCGAGTTCATTAGCCGCCACTGCAGGGTAGTTGGGACGGGGTTATTACCGCCGTGGTCGAGTGGTCAGATTTTGACCAATACACATATCAGGATAAACTAATGGTACAAAAATTATTTACTTAATCACTTGTCAGTATAAATAAGTTAATCCTAACTTTAAAACATAAATTTTTTATATAGCTTTATTCCACTAAATTTACATAACATTAATGCTTTTTGTGGTAAGGAGTGGCTATCATGTAAGGACTTATTGACCATTCATTTAAGTCTCTTTCAAATTGAGAATAAGTGTGTATATATATATATATATATATATATATATATATATATATATATACACACACACCATTTGCCTCGAGAGGTTGCTTCGAGTGTGGAGATTTGGGTCATATCAAGAGGTTTTGTCCCCGTCTTACGGGAGGATCATCCCACTAGAGGANTAAAGGTTCTCTAGAAGAATCAGGAGTTTCTTTACCTTTAGAAGAAGGAGTTTTCAGAATAGAACTCCTAGAAGAAGAACCAGAAGAGCCGCCTCGAGTAGATTCTAACCCTGTACGAAGTCTACCTCCTCTGTCTCTTCTATGTCTAACAGGAGCATTGGGGAATTTGTCTAAAATAGGAACTCTTTTAGGGTTAGGGTTTGGAGACGCCATTGTTGAGCAAAGATGCATCGAAGGAGAGCAAAAGTAAGGAAGAAAAACGTTTGCTAAAGATTTATGGAGAAGAGGACAAAGGAAGAAAAGGTTAAGTATGTATATGATGGCAACCGTCAAACTTAGAAGAGTAATGATGGAAAGCCTATAATAAAGGCAACTATCACTTCGTGAATAGTGGGATTAACGAAGCTTTGAAAAAGGGTGCAAAATGGCAGAATCAATCAAAAGGTGACGCATGGATAAAACATTAAATGGAAAAGACAATTGAGACGACAATATTGTCATACGCATTGATTATGGCAAAAATTCCTTTTTTACGAAGGTCCACTTCCCAATTATTTAATTGATAAATAAATGGAAAGTGGAGGGACTATCTGTATTGGGAAAAAAGTTGAATTTATATTGAAGATGACGTGGCGTGACACGTGGACTGGACAAGTGGTCAAAGCGTAACAATTGGGAAAAAGGTACGGTAAATGACAGGTACGGGAAGAAGAAGTGAAATAGGCACGAGAAGCAGTTTAGACACGAGTCTCGTACCAATTCGAAGTCATTTAAAGCCAGTGGGTCGAAAGGCATTGAAGACATGAATCTGAAGACAAAAAGGAGTCCAAATTCAGTATTAAATACCTGATACGTTAGAAAATTGGTATTTAATAGGAATGATTGTGTAAAGGCTCATTTAATGTCATTTATTGTCCATAATTGTCTCATTAAAGCTTAGGTTTATTTCCTTTACCTAGAATCAACTATAAAAGGAGGAAGTTGTATTGAGAAAAGGATATCTTTTACATCATTCTGAAATAAGAAATTTTGTTTACTGCTTTATTATTATTCTCAGAAAGCCTATTATTATTTTGGTCTCTTGATTATTAGTAACTCGATTTTTCATCTCAAATTCTAGTTTTATCCAAAATATTATTTCTTTGGTGAAACAGTATGCTTGAATGTTCAGTCTGCAAACAGAAATTGAAAACAAAGGAAGACGGGCATTTTTTTGCACCAATTGTAAACGTCGGACAACATTAGTTCCCATAAATTTATTGATCAAGTCATATAGAATGAGAAAGAGAAATAGGCCGAAGTCTTGCACACCTTACCCCTTATAACGAATTCAAGTTTCACTCGTATCAATTCCAGAAATTTCAGAATTGCTACAAACTTTTTATATCTAACCATTTGTTTATTGGATAATTGATAACAAACGTATGAACTTAGCCATCAATGGAGCTATTATCTTATTTAGTGTGTCCAGTAAATCTTTGAGGGAGCTGATCCAACTGAAAACAGTTCTTGCTTTTTAAATATTGATGAAGTACAATATTAGAAGATAGTGCTAAATCTCAAAGACTTCAACATGCGCAAGTGGATGTCTTTTCTCACAAGGGCAATTTTCCAATCGTACTGATCAGATAAACAATATAATAGTGCCTTATACTCTACAAGAAAATGCAATTTACACAATCAAATACCAATACTGAGAGTGTTAGAGGGCTAAAGAGCCCACATAGGAAAAGGAGAAGACATGCAAATAGAGAAGTTTTCGCAGATCCTCAATATCTTCAGTCACGACATTCATAACCATCACCTGTATGGTTTCATAACATCACAAAATTCATTCTCCTTGAATTCAATGAATTATTGAACTCTTCTATGGTTTTTAGCACGTTTCTTGTTGTTTTCTGCAACAAAAAAAGGAAAATAAAATCTGTACATCAAGTGCTACCAGCTAAATTAGCAACTTTAGAAAACTAATCATCTAATACAATGATGAAGCTTTACTTTAATTCAACTGAAAGCTACATAAACATGGCATTTGGGCGCCAAAATAGGAGAGCCCCCAACCTCAACATACAAATGCAATAAATTTGGCATCCTCTACCCAAAATATAAATATCTATTTAGTAACACCAACAAAGATTCACATATCATATAAATTTAGAGTAAATATATCACGTTTCTGAAATTGAAAGTAGTTTTTAGTTGTCAACAGTTTCAAAATTTTCATCCGATTAGTTTTCTTTCTATAGAAAGTTAAAATCATATATTATCTCCAATATACACAATCCCAAATTATTCAAATCATGCTTCAGGTGCTTTCCAAATCTTTGCCATTCTTTTTCAATATAGAGACTGCAATTACTATATCACATGCTATTGATAAGCATGCATATTCATAAATAAGGTAGAGATAACAGAGAAAAATTGTCAAACACTAAAAGATCAATGCATTAGCTATGAATATATCATCATATCAAACATAAATAATCAGAATTAGCACAATTTACAGTACCTTTCAAAACAGAGGTGCATCCAAATATGATCGATAAGATTCGAAATGAATAAAGTAAGTAAATGCATAATCAACAAAAGCTAATACAACATGACTATTTCAAAACTGACATCTTCAAAATGGTAAAAGAAATTTGATGCGCTACCATCCAAAAGAGAACAATCGACTCGGGAATATCAATCTATACCTAATAGGAAGAACATAAAGGATAAAATGAAAGCCAATAGTGTTTGACTTAAAAATTATCGAACGATTTTTAAGCAAATCAATTAGTATACAAGGAGGGTAAATCATAGTCAATCATAGTTGATACCAGATCGAAAGACAGAAGAGTAAAGCGAAAGCCTTCGTAGAGATAAAAATTGGGAGATTTTTATTTCTACATCGGAGTTTATCCTGTCTCCCCTTGGAGGATCCAAGAAATTACAATTTTTGTTATTTTTTCTGAGAATAGTCGAGAAATGAATCCTCCTCCCTTTTTCTCCCTTCCCGCTCCCCTTATATAGCGGAGGGGCTCTGTTTTTACTACCATAAAGATAAAGATAAAATAAATACTATAGAGGGACCGACGTGGTTGTGAGGTCGTCCTTTGTACAGTTCTTGAGTCGTCCTTTTCAGCCGGACTTGTGTGTATACGGTCGGTCGTGCTTACTTGGGGACGTGATCATTCAATTCGACCCCATACAATTACCGCCGTGACCGAGTGGTCAGATTTTGACCAATACAGTCAGTCCCTCCGTCTGTCGGGGTCGTATCCTACCGATCTCGACGGACGGATCATGTTTGTGACGTACCCATATTGAATTCGATGTGCGTATTATTCCTTATTTCATGTCGCGAGTTTTCGGAACGGCCCGGAGGGATCTCTCTGATACCCTCGTACCGTTGCGACGATATCGAAGCTGAAGTGACGGTTGACAAATGGAGCAGCACTTCGTGTAAGTAGTTATAATAGCGCGTGTTCCCGAGAAGTTGAAACGTTTCACGCCTGGTCAGATCCTAGTGGCGGCTGTTGGTTTTCATGCTCAGAGAATTCGTGTCCTATAAATTGGATGAGCCTTGTCATTTTTCTCTCGCATTTCTTCGCTTGTCTTCGAGAGGGTTTCCTGGGTCTCTCTCCTTTGGTCAATTTAAGCTTTTTCTTTGCCTCTTCTCTCGCAGCACTCCTCCAATCTCCAATAGAGTTCTCTCCTCTTCTTCTGGCTTAACGATGGCGGGAACTTCCTCTCACGATAATCTTTCAGCTATCCCGCCGGCGACTGGGGATCACGCTCCGGCGGACGGGGATTCAGACTTGATGGAAAGCGAGGAGGTCCCTTCAGTAGAGGAAATTTTATTCCGCTCGGGGAAGGTGGTAGAAGATTTCAGCGCCGATGGGAGCATGGAGCATGTAGATATTAAACCCCTTATGGGGGAGGTCGGGTTAAAGGAGTTGAGGGCGAGATGGGGCATTCCCAGTTACATCGAGATGGTACCGGCCACAAATGATGAAAGGGTCCAGATAAACCGTCCCGGGTTCTGCTCGTTCTACGCTTATCCCTTCCTTGTGGGGTACACACTTCCGCTTCCGATGTTGGTGGTCGACTTCTGTTGCTATTATGAGGTGTGCCCTGCCCAAATTTCTCCTTATTTGTACAAGCTTTTCCTTATGTTCATCAAGTACGCGGAACTGGCCGGTCGTGAGGTCACTCTGAGGACGTGCTCAACCTATTCGCTCCTCAACGGATTCGCGGCACAATGATCCACGCGCGTCCTCGGGGGTCAAAAGGTTTGGTGGTCAAGATGGATGACAGGACTAATCGCCATTTTTTTTTGATAATTTTTTCTATGTGCAGACAGAGCATCTTGTGGCAGACCCGACTGGGTTTTCGGTAGTGTGGAATTTTGCCCGTAAGCCTTCGTCCTTGACCAACAGAGTCTGTTTCGGCCTCTTCCTCCCTATATCTTGCGTTGCATATACTGATTTATCTCGATATTCTGCAGCCGAGAAGGCACCACCGCCTCCTTTTGGAGGGGATTCGGGAATGGGTCGAGGCCATCCTTCCTCATACAGCGGGAGTTCGTACGTGGGCGACGTTTCATCGGAGATTCGGACGCAGGCCCCTTACAGGTGAGATAATGTCCTTACCTTCTGACCTTTCTTCTGTATCGATCTTACTTTTCGAGCTTTGTTTGCTGTGACTAGGGAGGGTTCGCAGAGTCAGGGCCCCTCAGTTGGCGTTCCATCGCCCGGCTGCATCTGCTCGTATTAGTGTGGCACAATTGGCTCGTCCTTCATCAAGGGCGGCGTTTGTGGAGTCATTGGCCTTTACCACTCCCACCCAGACTATGTCTCGGGATGAGGGTCCATCTGGCGTCGTCCGTCCTCAAGCTGACTCGTCGTCGACCGGAGAGGAAGAAGGGCCGTTGAAGAGGCGGAGAGTTGGTTTCGAGATGGATCCTCCGACAGTGATCAACTTGGATTCTCCCCCGGTGAACCCAGAGGAAGGTGTTGCAACAGCATCTACCGCCGAAGGGGAGCGGATCGTCGGGGCTGCTCCCGTTAGCCAGGGCTAGGAGGACTCTGCTGCGGATGTCGCAGAACATCTTGTTATAGCGGAGGATCGTTCCCTAATGCCACCGTCGCGACCTTGAGTGCGCCACTATCATCTTCATCAGCGGAGAGGGGGAAGAGTGTAATGGTCGATGAATACGAGTCTGAGTCTGACTTGGGCTGATGACGTTCGGATGTTCGAGGATGGCATTACCCACTCGGTGGTCAACGCAGGGGGGTCGGCCCGCCTCGTTGAGATTCCTGCCGATGTGAACTTGTTGACTCAAGGGGGCAGCCTGGTACCTCAATTCAGTCTACTGTGTTCTGAGGCTGAGAATGAGTCCCTGAGGAGTGTTTCGGATGTCGAAGTGATGGACGAGGTGGCCGTGATGGGTTTACGGGTATGCTATATCAGAATTCAGTTTATTTCCCCTTTATTGCGGAGTGGGCGTAAGTTTGACTGTTCTTCTTGTTTTGCAGACGTATATGTTGGTGGTAGAGAACATTCGTAGGGCCAATGTCCGATCGAGGATCTTTTTGCAGATGCTGGGAAAATACCGTTGCTATCGCGATAGGTTTCGCGAGTTGCATGAACGTTTATGAAATGATCCCCGCAACCGGGCATTGGGCGAAGAGTTGGAGAGGAAGGACCGTGAACTGGCCCAGGTGCTCCGCAGCAGGAGTGAGCTTGAAGAGCAAATCCGCCTCAAGGACGAGGAGCTCGAGGTGGGAAGAGGGGTCGCCGCGGAGTGTGAACATCTGCAGGGCAAGTTGCGAGCACTACGGTTGGAAATTGAGCAAAACCAGGCCAGAGCTGCGGAGGTCGACTCTGAATGGAGAGTGAAGCTGGTTGCACTGGAAGGCAAGGTCGCCGATTTGGATCGCTTGGAGAGGGATGCTTCGACGAGAGCGGCGGCCTTTGAGACGGCGGTCCGTGTTCATGAGTCCGAGCGAGAGTCGGAAGGACTACTGGGCCCTTAGAGAGGCGAGGCTTGAGGAGCGTATCGGTGAGATTGATCATGAGGCCCAGGACTAGTCGGATCGGGTTGCGGCCTTGGAGGAGGAGAATCAGCGGCTGAGGGCCCTGGTCGGACCATCCCTGCTGCTGTTCCTCGCCAGGCTCATGAACTCTGGTTTTATACCGAGGCTAAGCGTGACATTTTCAAGAACTTGTTGGAGGCGGGCATCGTGTCTGAGGCGGCTTACGAGGAGGCATGCCAGAAAGCTCGGGAGGCTCGAGCCAACTGCGGATATGATGTGGCGACGCCCGAAGCCGATGGTGGTGCAAGTGGCGATGATGATGGTCCTTATGGAAGTGATGATGGCGACGGCGGTATTGGCGCCGAATGAGAGAGACTCTTGTTTCGTTGTTTGTGTTGGTTTGTTTTCTTTGGTTACGCCGATGGGCGTTTGTTTGTTCCTTGTTTTCTTTGTCGATTTTCTCTCTTTTGGCTGGTTCGGACCGGATGTGAGCGGCGATGGTCCGCATTTCTGATTCCATTAATAAAGAATTCTTTCTCGCTATTTGCCTTGCATTTCAGTTCATCGATTTGTGATTTGGTTGAGGGGGGCGGAACTCGTCTTAGTTCGAGTGAGGTTGAACTGTAATACTTTGATGGTGAAGGCACTTAGCCTGAGTCCCGGTTCGAGCGAGGTCGAACTGTAATACTTTGATGGCGAAGGCACTTAGCCTGATTCCCAGTTCAAGCGAGGTCGAACTGAATGATTATCTGTCTGACTGTGGCATTCAGGTTGCTTCAGGGTAATTTTCGATTCCTCGTTTGCAGTGCCTTTGCGCCGGTTTCCGGCCTGACATGGTATGAGGATAAGGGGAGCCGAAACGGGGGGAGCTTCTCCACCTCCACGATCCGGGAAGAACTTCTTGCTGTCTCTTTTGCTTCGATCCGGGAAGAACTAAGTGCTTTCACTAGGAAATCCCCACAGACGGCGCCAAATTGTTTGACTCAAAAGTTATTGAATACTTTTCGAGCAAATCAATCAACATAGATGAAGGGGTAAATCGTAGTCAATCATAATTAATACCAGATCGAAAGACAAAAGAGTAAAACGGAAGATTTAATAGAAATAATAATTGGGAGATTTCATTCATCATTGAAATTTATCCTGCCTCCCCTTGGAGAGGTCCAGGAAATTACAATTTTGTGGTCTTCTTCGAGAACTGTTGAATGTGAAGAATCTCCCTTTCTTTCTCCCTTTGGGCTCCCTCGCCCCTCTCGGAGTCTCTCTCTCTAGATGTTCTTATGCTGGTGGATGATCAAGAAAATGATGGAGAAGCCCCCTCTTGTTCGAGTCTCCCGCCCTCTATTTATAGTCGAAGATGTCTCATTCATATCTTATCTCGACCCGGTCGAGGGGGTGATTTCCCCTCATGGAGGGATCTCAACCTCGACGCTTGTTTAGTGACTAGTACGGGTCGGACGAGGTCGAGTTCATTAGCCGCCACTGCAGGGTAGTTGGGACGGAGTTATTACCGACGTGGTCGAGTGGTCAGATTTTGACCAATATAGTTAGTCCCTCCGTCTGTCGGGGTCGTATCCTACCAACCTCGACGGACGGATCATGTTCGTGACGTAATCATATTGAGAGTGATGTGCATATTATTCCTTAGTCATGTCATGAGTTTTCGGAACGGCCCGGAGGGGTCTCTCTGATACCGTTGTACCGTTGCGACAGTATCGAAGCTGAAACGACGGTTGATAAATGGAGCAGCACTTCGTGTAAGTAGTCATAATAGCGCATGTTCCCGAGAAGCTGAATCGTTTCACGCCTGGTCAGATCCTAGTGGCGACTGTTGGTTTTCGCGCTCAGAGAATTCGTGTCCTATAAATTGGATGAGCCTTGTCATTTGTCTCTCACATTTCTTCACTTGTCTTCGAGTGGATTTTCAGGAT